TTGGGACCCTGCACCTGCTTGGAAACCCAGAAGAAGTTCCTGGTTCCTAGCTTCAGATCAGCACAGCTCCAGCCACTGTGGCCACTTAGGGATTGAACCAGAGGATGGAAGATCTTTCTCTGTCCTCCTCTCTGTAAATCGGACTTTCCAATTATATATATGTATATATGTATGTATGTAAGAGCAGCAGAGAACGCAACAGCCAAGCCTGGGCAACACTGAAGCCAGGACTTCTTCCGGATCTCCCTGCGGCTGCAGGGCCCAAGCACTTGGCCCAGCCTGCACTGCCTATCCTGGGTGCTGAGCAGGGATCTGGACAGGAAGTGGAGCAGCTGGGAATCAAACAAGCCACACTGCAAAGTTGGCCCAAAATAAACCTTTTTTTTAAAACGTCAACAAAGATACAAAACATTTTTCAAAAAGCAAACAAAATAATTTTTCTTTTTTTAAGCAGCGAGCTAAGGGCCCCAGAGGTCGGGCCCTTCCTTCTGGTGAGGGACATGGTCCACCCAGGCCAGGAGAGCTGTGGTCCCAACCTCCAACAGGTGCATGAGGCAGAGGGTGCACAGAGCCTTCCGGATCTCCGGGCGTTCTCCCTGAGCCCTGCCAGCAGGACACAACAGCCTCTGTCCCCATGGCGGCCCTCATCACAGTGACAGGCAAGGCGACGGTGAAGGACTGAGGACAGCGCGGCTCAAGGCTGCTCCAGCCAAGACAGAGGACACGAAGCCCACACAGACTCCTCTTCAAACGCAGCACCCGCCCCTTCCAGACTCCAACGGAAGCCCGGGCCCCTGTCCGTCAACACACGCACGGACACGTGTGTGCACACACACGCCAGAGCTGCTCACGCCCCACGCGGTGAGCACGAGACCCATCTGGACACAACATACCTCCACTAGCCTTTCAGAGCGAGTCCTTGCCCAACCTGCCTTGTGGGGCGACGGGCACAGCTGGACCTCAGCAGAAGTTACCCTGGCACGCCTAGCCAGGGAGCCACTCCACCTGCAGCTGGCTAAGGCCATTCATCAAGACGGGCCATGTGGGCGTCCCCTTCCAGTGCCAGGACCAGGCTCCAGGGACCACAGGGGTCAGGGCCCCAAGGGAGCACCACCACGAAGCCAGGCTCACGCCCTGCGAACGGATGCTCCCGGCTGCTTCAGGTCTGGAGGTCCCTTGTCCCTCGGACTCCTGAGTGCCCACAGCCTCCACAATGCTTACTCAGAGGCCGAGCAGGAAAGCAGCAGGCCTTGGCTGAGCCAGCAACCCCAGTGTGCAGCCATGCGTGGGGCAGCTGCAAGGGAAGCAGTTCACAGTCCACACTGCAACTCCACAGCCAGGCACCCGCTCTGTGTGCCAACACGGACGCCAGCATCACCTGAGACCCGTCCAGGTGCCAGCGCCCACCCCCAGGCTCCAGGCGGCATCTGCCTGTCAGCACCCCTCCCACGGGCAGTTCCTGTTGTCGGTCACAGCTGGAACAGCTTGGGCAGCTGGCCTCAGCTCCAAGCATGGAATGCAGACACCATGTGACAAGCTGCAATGGGGACATTAGGTCCTCACTGGCCCCTGCTGGGTCCCCTGACCCCAGCCGCCTTCTTGGGCCTGTTCTGCGCTCTCACTTCTATGGAAAGTACCTGCACACGCCCAGCCCTGCCACTGACAAGTCACGGGCTCAGAGACACTGTGCCCGTCCCCACCCACTCTAGGGAATGTCCCCCTCCCAACCTCAGTTTCTCAAATCTCCATCTGAGCCTCAGGATCCTGGTCCTGGCAGCACGCAGCAGGGCTGCACCAGCGGCTGGGGCAGCAGAACCCAGGGACGGAGAAAGCCAATCTCCGGGAAGGACCCGGAGCCTGTGGCATGCCCCACACCCCAGCCAGTCTAGAACCCAGGAGCACCCCCATCTGGACCCCTGGGCATCACATGAGACCTCCCAACCGACCAAGAGTCACCAGCACACCAGCACCATTCTCCACACACTTGAACTCATCGGGCGACCCCGCAGTGACAGGCTGGCAGGAGGGGGCCAATCCGGGCTGCGGAGCACGGCCACACACCTACCTACGGCACTGCAGAGCCCAACAGCCCGAGGGGGGCCCTAGGCCTGTGCCATCCTCAGGGCAGACAGGAAAGGGTGCATACCTGCGTGGGCACGTGTGTACATGTGTGGGTGCACATGCACAGAGCTGGAAGGGCAGCACCGGCCAGCACTCCTCCACTGCATGTCCATCCTGTTCCCAGTCTGGGCAGCTGCCAGCAGCCCAGGCTCCAGTCCCTGCCTTGCCCCAGACCGAGCCAGGGAGCCCAGTGCCCCTCCCAACTGCCAAGGGACCCTAACTCCTGACCTCTCCCTTGGACATACGCCATCCTTTAAATCTGACTGATTTGGAAAGTATGGCCGTAGAAGATCTGCCAAATCACGATGGGCCTGACTTTACGCCACACTGGTCGTGGCTGGGCAGTCTGCAGGGCACCTCTCACCCTGACCGGGTTGTCAAGCCCACCTCACACCTCACTGTCTACACAGGCTCGCATCACTTATGCTGCCCAGCGTCGGTCTCTGGGGCTCCCCTCCCAACCCCAGGGGCAGGGCCGGGCATCTGGTCTCTGCTGAGACAGACAAGCTGGACCTGAGAATGAGGAGGGACAAGGCCGAGACCCAGGCCCATCACGGCCTCTAGACTGCAGCAAGCAGACAGGGTGACCGGCTCTGCCTGGGACACAGCCATGAGGCACAGGTCCACAAGCCAGGCCTGGGTGGAAGCATGCCTGCCCTGGGCCCATGGGCTCTAGAAGCCAGCCTGTGACCAGCCCCCAGGCCTTGCTGTCAGAAGGGCGGGTACAGCACCTCTCTAGCTGGTGCCAGAGGGTTTGGGCCAGCACTTTCTGCATGACAACAATGTGGCTTCAGGCATTGCCCCCAGGTCCAGAGGATGGATGTGAGCCCCTGGACCCAGGAGACCTTGATTCCAGATTCCCCAATCCTCTGAGCTCCGCCCCCAGGGCTGCTGAGGGCCAGATGACCAGCCTGGGGAGGCGGGCAAGGGCTCCTTCAGGGGACAGCAGCCCATCCAGACACCTAACCCCTGCCACTTGCTGGGAGGGTCCCGACCCTTCGCTGCTGGGCCCAGCCATCTAAGGCCACCTGTCATCCACAACCACCTCGGGAATTCTGTCGATTTCCGTTCGATCCTGGCAGGTGCTGGGGTGCGGGTGCCAGACGAGAATCCAGCTGAGGCTAGAGGTGGTCACGTGTCCCATCACCTCATCAGCCAGCCCTTGTCTGCCCCCGGAAAGGGCATCTGGGTTCCGGTCCCGGCCACACCTAACCCCTGCAAGGCTGGCAAAGTCGGGGTCTCAGCCAGACCCGCTCGGGTGTTCATCAAGCACCAGTGGGGGGTTAGCAGGCACCCTGCACCTCACCCGTGAGAACCACGTAGACGCCACTGCCCATGCAGGACCTGCTATTTGCTCCTCCCACCCCCACCCACCTGCACCATGACCATGACCTTAGGTAGGAGTGCAGTCTTTGTTCAGCTTATCAAAGCAAGACCTGGTCATCCTGCAGGAGGGCTGACCCCCCAGAGCACGGGAATCTCCCACGCCCAGCACATCTCAGGCAGCCCCCAGATCTGTAGTGGGACCCCCTCAGAGGTGTGGCTCTCCAGCAACGTAGACGTAACCGTTTGGAAACCGTGCCAGGTACCAGGCAAGAAGGGGCCCAAGTGGCACGCCCCAGCCGCCTTTGATCCAAACCCAGGGCACAGGCAGCTGCCTGCCAACCCCTTCTTTCCTCCCCAATTCCACAGCTGGGCCCCAAGGCCCGGGACCCTCTGCTCAGCCCCAGGACCAAACATGAGCTCTCTCGACCCCAGCCTCTCCGAGGGCCTAGACCCCCGACCCTCCAGGTGACACCAGACCCCAGCCACCATGGCTCCCGCGGCCCCCCAGGCCCTCCCCCCAAGTCTCACTGAGCATCGAAGCCAAACAAGTGAAAAGTCCTTGACTGCTCCGAGGTGGGTTTTGTGAAAAGTCGTCTGCTAGCACCCACCACGCCCTAACGCAGCAGCCCTGAGAACACCCCAGCTCCAAGGCCCTTGGCACAGTGGGGCGCTCCTGGGAGGGCACAGCGACAGGGAAGAGGCTGGTGAGGGGGCCCAGCCTGGCTTTGGCAGGGGCAACCTCCCAGCAGGGGCTGGGGCTGAGAGGTTAAAGGCAAACCTGTCTGCTCCCACCCCAGGACACGCGGGCTGCCCCTTCCCCACCGGGGCCTCCCCTTGCTGGGGTCACACCCAGAAACAGGGCTTCACCCTCCTTCCCCAGCCAGCCCCTCCTCTGGGGCCAGGAGCCCCGCGGGTACCCGACCAACAGCTGGGCAGCTGGCCAGCCTCACGTGTCCCCTGCTGTGGCCACCCTTAAAACGCAGTCCACGCAGCCAAGCCACCCAGGGGTGCCCGGTTCTGCCCAAGCCCTGCGAGGGTGGGGACCGGGGCACGGAGCAGGCCCTGGGCCTGGAGTCGGGGTGGGGGTGGGGGGCTTCGCTCCGGCGCTGGGCGCGCAGGGAGCCCCCAAACACACTGGCCCCAGCGCTCTTCCCACCCAGCCCCGGGCAGCACCTGCGGGAAGTTTCTCCCGGAGTCCCCGGACTCCCGCCCACCCCCACCCCGCGGCGCCGCCGCGTCCCCCACCGTCTCCGCCCCCCAGCGCTGGCATCCCAGGGCGCCCCGCCTGCCAAAACCCCAAGCAGCTCCCTGGCTCCCCTGGCTGGGGCCGGGGACGCGGCGGAATTTCGGTGGAATTTTGAGGTTGAGAGAAGCATCCCGGGAGAGCGGGCGGGGGCGGCCCGTGCGCGCCGGGCGTCCGCTCGCGGGACCCCAGCAGGAGCGGGGAGCGGCGGGGAGAGGGGCCGGGGCCTCCCCAGCGGCGGCTGGCCGAGAGCCGGGAGGCCTGCGCAGCCCCCCGGGGGGCGCGGGGACGCGGGCGCCGCGCTCCTTACCTACGTCCGCATTGCAAAACGCCTGTTGCGGGTGCACCGGCGAGCAGCTGCAGGCGTCGGCCGGGCGAGGCAGCGTCCCCAGCAGCAGGAGGCCGAGCGCGAGCCGCAGGCTGCGGGCCGCGGCGCCCATGGCGGGCCGGGGGGCTCGGCGGGGGCTGGGCCGCGCCGCCTGGTGTCCGGGCTCCTCGGGCCGGCGGGCTGGGGAGGGCGGACGGGCGGGGGGCTCAGGCTGCGCGCTCCGCCCCGGGCGCCCGGGCCGGGGGCGAGGCGGGCCCCTCCCGCCGGGCACACCCCGCTCCCCGCCGCACTCACCGCGCAAACTTTCTCTTCTCTTTGTCTCGGGGGCGACGAGGGCGGGGCGCGGGGGCCGCGGCGACCGGGAGGCGGCGGAGGAGGGGTGGGGGCGGCGGCGAGCGAGCGCCGGCCCGGCCTTCTCGGGACGCGCTTGCTGCGGGCGCGGGCCGCGGCGGCCGTTTTATAGCGCGGCGAGGCGGCCGCGCTCCTCCCCCCGGTGGCCGGCGGCCAATGCCGGCTCCGGGCGCTGCCCGCGGCCCCCTCCTCCCGCGCCTCCCGCGCCTCGCGCGCCCTCCCTCCCCCGGAGCCCGGGCTTTTGTTGCGCCGGGCCTGGCACGTCCGGGGGCTGGGGGGTGGGCTTCCCGCACCGCCTGGCACCGCGGCCCGGCGCGCGAGGCCCGCACCCGCGCAGACCCCGGCCTGGCCCGCGGCGTGGGCACTGTGCCCCCCAGGGCGGCGGGCGGCCCAGCCACCACCCTTCGGCCCCAGCTGGCTGGCTCCCCGCAGGCCGGGCTTTCTGCGGAGCCAGGGCCATGTGCCTGGGGTGCATTCCTCGCCGCCCCCTTCGTGTGCCCACTACGGGCTGCTGACCTCGGTGAAAGTTAACAGGAAAGCAAAGGCCTTAGGATCGTGAGCGAGCTGGGCCAGGGGGCATGAGGGGTGTGGTTATTGTGAACAAAACTGGGTTTTATAGCAACAGGCCATTGCCCAGCCAACAGGAGGGCTGGAGTGCGCCCAGGTGCCATGCGGGAGCCATCTGGTCAACCTCTCCTGGCCAGCAAATGTGGGAACCCAGGGCTTTGCTCAGAGCAGTCGATTATTCCAGGAAAGGCGCAGGAGCTTCAAGGTGTGGCCCTCATGGTCCAGCCAAGCCTATCCTGCCCACGTCCGTCCTTCAGCCTGCTCCAGCTGTGGGAGGACTCGGTGGAGGTGGAAGCCAGCAAGGAGCTACGAGGCCGAATGCGGACACGGTGAGCATGTGCTTTGCAGGGCAGCAGCGGGGTGGGGGACAGCAAGGAAGACAGGAGGTGTCCCCAGCCCCCACCCAAGTCCAGAGTCACCTTTGCCAGTTTGTGAAATGTTGTTTGCTAAGTGGTGCTTGTCCATAAGGCACTGTTGATTCAGAAAGCTATCCGGAACATTCTCACGTCTTTTCCTCTTTCTTACACAAGTGGAACAGCATGTCACTGAAGTTCCCCGAGTGGACAGTCAGTCTGTCTGCTCTGCAGCCGCTGACTCAAGACCAGGCGGTGGCACACCTAGTGACCAAGCATGTCGACGTGCCTTAGGGCAGCTACGGGGGCCAAGGAGGGAGCCAGGGAGGGAGCCAGCAGGGCCAGTGCACCTGGCGACCGGGCACCTGGCGGGGATGCCTCCACACCGCACCGCACCCCCCCTGCGTCAGGGCGTCCCTCATCTGAATCATCCCCCCAGCACAGGTTTAGCCCCAGGACGGGACTCCTGCACCCAGGGGCGGCCGCCGGGGTGCCTGCACCCCGTATCAGGGTGCTAACCCCACTTGAGGTGCTGCGCTCCCCCAGTAGCTGGGTCCCTGCCACAGGGAGCCTGGGGTAGCTGGCCCCTGGCTTTGGTCTGGCCCCGCCCCAGGTGTGGTGGCGATCTGGGGAGTCATTCAGTGGGTGGCAGGTATCTGCTTTTCTCTCTCTCTCCCTTCTCCCATCGCCCTGGGATTCTGCCTTTCAAAAAAATTTTTTAAAGGAAAAACACATTATGAGCACCACTTTTTAAAGATGCCTGCCTCCTGAGCTTGACCCCCAGCTCCGGTGGCCGGCTTCCTGCCTCTGTGGACCCTGCGAGGCAGCAGTGATGGCCCCAAGGCGAGGGCGCCAACCCTCAGAGACTCCCAGGACACACTTGAGAGACTGTGGGCACCTGCTCGGTGGGGGAAGGACATGTGCAGTGCGGTGCCTGTGGCCCAATCTCCAGCAGGCCCCACCTGGGGCAGGCAGCCATACACACGTCCTGGGCTGGACCGGGTGCAGTGACCTGGGCCGGGCTATGTCCACCCTCCTCTCCAGCCTTCGCCCATGCTGCTTCCGGCAGTTTCCAGAGGACCAGGCCCTCCCGTGGGTGATGGGCATCACAGCAGCCCCCGACATGCAGGACACTGTGAAGTTCTGCAGGGCCAGCCTTGCTGTCTGTCTCCAGCGTGCCCAGTCCGGAGACACAGGGCAGGCTGGCAGTGGGCAGGGTGTATGTGGAAGGAAGGGCATGCCATTCAGCTTTGTCCTGGCACAATGGACGTGTGGGCCAGCCACTTCATGATGAGCCACTCTGGGCACTGCCCACATGTGCCAGGGCATCTTTTTTAAAAAAAAATATTTATTTATTTGGATTAGAAAGGCAGATACACAGAGAGAAGGATCTTACATCTTCTGGTTCTTTCCCCAAGTGGCCACAATGGCCAGAACTGAGCTGATCCAGAGCCAGGATCCAGGAGCTCTTCCGGGTCTCCCATGCGGGTGCAGAGTCACAAGGCTTTAATCCATCCTCGACTGCTTTCCCAGGCCACAGGCAGGGAGCTGGATGGGAAGCGGGGTGACTAGGATACATACTGATGCCCATATGGGATCCTGACGCATACAAGGCAAGGGTTTAGCCACTGCGCCAGGCCTGCCAGGGGCATCTTTTTGCCCACTGAGAATGCCCACGGGCTGAGAGCTGATGGCCGAGAGGAACCTCTGGCACCTCTGGGCTGGGAGGAGCAGGAGACAGGCACCCCTAAAAGTGGACAAGTGAATGAGCCGCAGTCACATGGGACAGGGGTGCATACCCCAAGAGAGAGCCAGTGGGAGCCAGGACCCCACCCACTGGACGCTGGGCACCTCTGGGCAGAGGAGGACCAAGGTGACGGCCACCACGGCCGTGGGCATGTCTGGGGAGGAGAGCCACAGTGAGCTCCGCCTGAGCTAACAACCCTGTGGCAGATGGGCACTTCTTGGCAGGCCTTGCCTGCGGGTGACCCCACATCCCTTCGTGTCCCCTGCTGGGCTCTGTGCCCCAGTCTGCTGTCTCTCTCCACCTCCTCCCCTCCACCTGCGGGCAGGTGCCCTCTGTGCAAACCTGCCTGTGGTCCCTCAGTGACCTTCCTGCACCCTGATTGTCACCACCAGGTCTTCAGGGAGTGCAGAGAGAGAAGGTGAGGCAGGAAGGAGCCCCAGGAGCTATATGGGGTACCACCAGGATTTCACAACCTTGTGTCCCTGGCTTGACTCAGCCTCCGGGTCCCTCTGGAGCCAGCCCAGGCTGGGACCCTCTCCCTCCTCCCAGGAGTGCGGCTGCGTGGGGGTGGGGGTCGGGGAGACAGGCTCCTGCCACGCTGGGGCCCTTCCTGCAGAGCCCTTCCTAGGGCATGCTGACTGTGGGAGATGCCCCACAGTGACGGCAGCTCCGGACTTCCTCATGCCCACACTCTCCCTCCCCGCCCCTGGCCATTTGGTCATGTGCTTCCTTTCCTGGGCGGGCCGGGGCCTGGGTCCAGTAAGTGGAGCCAGTAACCCAGCTTTCTTGGGGCTTTCAGGTTCTCGGTGCTGGAAGCCTGGCTGGGAGGCTCCAGTTTCCCAGCGGCCTCCTCCAGCAGGCCCGGCCCTGCCTCGCCCTGTTTTTCTTCTTGCTTTCCAGTCTCTCCTCCCCTGCCCTACCCTCCCGCTCGCCTCTCTGGGGATGCTGGAGCATCCAGTGACGTCAGCCCTGCGGCCAGCGGCACCTCCAGAGCCAAGCCCCACCTCCAACCCCTGCTCTGACTCAGTCCCGGCTGCCGCCTGCCCCCCGGGGTGGGGGGCTAGGCTGGGAGGGTGGCAACCCTGCAGCCAGGGTCCAGAGATGACGATGACAGCCCCAGGAGAAGCGAGCTTGCGTTTCCACGCCATGTCAGGAATTTTTCATGTGGCCCACCCGCTGCCCGCCCCCACGCCTCCCAGCCCAGCCATGGGCACCGTTGGCACCCAGATCTCCCCGGGACGTCCCAACTCTGAGTGCAGGGCAAGAGGGCCACTCACAGGGCCCACCCCAAGCCACACTGGGCCTGTTCTGCTATGTGCGACCCTGGTCACTGCTCAGTCCCCCATCTGACCATAAAGCCCCCTGGGGCAGCACAGGCCAGTCTGGGAGGGGGACGCAGCCTATAGGGGTACCCGTCACAGTCACGCCACCTGTGCTGCTGACCTGTGGCAGGGTGGCAGGAGGGACAGCATGTCCCAGCCATGAGCTCGGTCCCACCTCCCTCCCACCCCCCAGGTGTCCCAGCTCTGCACCCCCAGCGTGCCTGCTCCACCAAACTGACACCTAACCTCAAGTCCCGCCACCCAGGCCCCAGGCAGCCTCGGCACTGTGGGAAGGGGGCCCAGCCAGGGCTGTGTGGAGTCGCCCAGGCTGCACACAGGTGGCCTCGTGTCAGTGGTCATGTAAGCTTCCTCGCCCGGGGCTTCATGGCTGAGGCCTCCAGCATTGTTACAGCAGGTGTGTACCCGGCGGGCAGCAGCCTTGTGCCAGGCCTGGGTGGGTCTGGGGATGTGCCCTCCTGCAGCACCAACGGCCCCTTGTCAGGGCAGACAGACCCAGTGTGACGGGCGCCGCGACAGGGGACAGGTGCCCACGAGGTTGCACTCCAGGAGTCGAGGGTGGGGTCGGTGCCTGAGGTGTCCAGGAAAGGGCGGGTGGCCCTTCAGACGGTCGCGCTGGGAGGCGGCTGGCCACAGGGCACGGCTGAAGGTGAGGGGCATGCCTGGAGCCGGCGGCGGCCCTGGGCAGTGACTCACTGAGGAGCCGCGTGATTGGAAACACACATGCCCGCCGAGGAGCCCTCATTACTCAGACTGAGGTTCTGGGCTGACCAGGGGCTGGGGATGGGAGGGGGGCAGGGAGCGCGGTTGGGCAGGGCCGTGGGGAGGGGGCTCCCGGCC